CACACACACACACACTGTTACTGCATAAAATCAACAAAACTGGACCCGACAGCAACTTCTTTGTCCGAACGGTGTGTGTATAAATATGTGTGTGTGTGTGTGTGTGTTCCAGGCACAAGGAGGCAGCTCCTCAGAAGTACTGTGTCCTCGATCAGAAGCTGAAACGAGACCCTCGACTGACCCCTCACCTGCTCAGCTGAGCCACACACACCTGCCCTCTTTATAATACATCATGTAATGTGTGGATTTTACACAGCTGCATACTTTCCTCTCTCTTTCTCCCGTTGTTCTTTCTTTGTGCTCGCAGCCTCGGTGGAGGGCAGCTGTGTGTCTTTATTATACACTGTATCTGTGATTGAGGATTCTTCATCAACCACTGACTCATCTCCAGTGGCATCCAGTTGCTCAATGAATCAGCGCCAGACTTCAGAGTCTGAATCAAGCTGCAGTTTACAGTTCAGATATTTCTATTGGACTGCTTTTGATATGTTATTATCTGTCTGTATGTAGATACAGTTCAAATAATAAAGTTTAAAAGCAGAATAACTCCAACAGACCTAATTACTAAAAGTGTGTTTTTAACAGATTTGTTGTTTCTGAGCTGCTAGAATGATGATGAGATAAACCTTTATTATTGCCGGAGGGAAAACAGGTGTCACAGCAGCAACAGCGAAAGAAGAATGAAGTCCACCAGCAGCTCTTTGGTGGAGGTGATTGTTGTCGCACTGTGCTTACGAAGCTCTCCACCAGAGCTAATGTGGGTCAGTCTGTTCTCAGGCACGAGGCAGGTTTATTTGTAAAGCACATTTCATACACGAAGGCAATCCAAAGTGCGTTACATCAAAAATATAGAGGAAATAGGGTCTAAAACATTCAAATGTAAATTAGGATATAGAAACTCTTAAACAGTAAAACAAAAGATAAAAACAGAAATCAATGTGAGAATGAAATGATGAGTCAAAGGCAGAGAACATAAAAGTTTTTAACTTCGGTTTAAAGGTAGACGAGCAGAGTCACTAGCTGCTGCTAAAAGGATTCTGGGAACAGTTTGCACACGCCGACCAGACGACCAGAGAGGGTTCGTGTGGTAAAAGAGTTTGTGTCATCCGTGTCTGGATATGAATCCTCTGAATGTTTCTGTGTTGTTGAGATAATAATAGTCAGACTTTGTTGTGAACTGGCTGTTAAAGGTTATTTTAGTCCATAATTACACAGATCTGAGACTGTAATAATCAAATTCCAAACTCCTTTTAACGACCAGCCTCTGACAGCAGCAAGCAATCATTTTGTAGCCCCACAACTGTAAACAGTGTAATGAACATTGTCTCCTCTAGGTGTCGCTGGTGGGGTTTCAGCGCTCTCCCAGTTTGGCTCTGGATGAATTAGCTGTACTACATTCATTATGGGAAGAGAACAAGAAATATGTTTTAGTGGGAGATCCCAGATATATGTTTAATAACACTTTTTAATTGAGGCTGTCAGTGTGTATTTACAGTACTTATATATCGATATGTTTTTAGCATTTAGATCATCATTTGATACAAAGTGTAAAATGTCTGAAGTGGCTGAGCTGCAGGTTTCGAGTCGGCCCTGAAGCTGCTTTATAGATGAACTATAAACTATCAATAAGATCAATAAGAACAACTTTTCATTTGTCAGGTTATGAGAATTCCCACTGGAAGGTGTTCTCCTTTCTGTTCGGTGATTAATGCAGTTATAAGTGTTGGTAATCCCGTAATAATATTAGTTTCTCAGTTTGTGATAAGAACCCTTCAGTTTTAACCAACCTATTTAGTACACACTGTAATGGAGCTGTACGCAGACAAAAGGACATTTTTGAGGATTAATTAATGTTTAATCAGTTATAATTTCTTTAATAAATACATATTTTATATTATTACAACAGTTTTGTTTCCTACATTTCATATCTGTTTCAGTGAGTTACATGACAAATAAAAAAGTGAACTTATAATAAGTATATCCATCAGTTATGTACTCTTTTTGTATTCCTGATACATAACTTCAGTTTACAGGTAAATCCATTACTCCCCAAACCTGATCATCTTTGACTTAATATTTCTATTAAAAGCCCATTATTGATTAGTCCTATGTGCATTATGTTAATATAATATTAATCAGACACACCGTTATATAGATAGATAGATAGATAGATAGATAGATAGATAGATAGATAGATAGATAAGATAGATAGATAGATAGAGAGAGAGAGATAGATAGATAGATAGATAGATAGATAGATAAAGATAGATAAGATAATATTCCTTTATGTGTCCCACAATGGAGAAACTCCATGTTACAGGAGCAAAAGGGGATAGAGAAACAACAGTATAAGAAACAGTGACGAGTTAGGGAAGCAATATAAATAGCCTATGTACAAGAGAAAAGAAAGCATTAAGAATCCACAACAGATAAGCAAAACAGTAGCAGCAGTATGGGCATTAGATTGCACATTGTCATTGTCCACATTATTCAAGCACACAGTCACACACACACACA